GGACGAAAGGTTCAACCGAGATTTGTTTTATTTCTCCATCCAAACCAGGCGGGTTTGCAAATGAGTGTATTTCGCAATTTTCCGTATTGTGTATGTGTCGACGAATAGCTTGGTAACAACCAAGGAGTGCAACCAAATATCCGGCTTGAGAAGGGTATAACTTAGAGGTCTACTAAGACAAAGTTTATCATGCTGCTTGGATTCATGGACACAACAAAAAACGTGTTTTGGGAATAGAAGGGATATGCTCATCCTGTATATGGTCTTCCGGATGATTATTATCAAATAACGTAGCCAGATCTTAAGCACCAACTACGACCTTAGAGTCACAAGAATAGAGCAAGTGGTTCGCTTGCACTTGAGTACCACACTTCGAATTGTTATTTCACAGTGTAAGCGCGTCTCTCCCAGCTGCATTCAGACTATGGTATAGCGGTGCGAGAAAATAAACCGCTAATATGGTTTTAAATTTAACTTCAGAGGTTAGCACGCTGCGATTTGCTGATGCCATGCTTGGTTTTACTTCGCAGGCGATATGTTTTACCTATCCCGAGATTCTAGTTAATTTGTACCCATAGCCCATCTCTTTTACTATTTATTAATAAGACTGTCTGGCCCAGTGACACCGTACCGACGTCGTTTCTGTCAGAAAACGACCCAGTCACAAATACTTGTTTAAGAGTTACGCTGTATTTCAAACCGTAGGTTGTCAGCTGGTACATAACAAAATGAGGTGGAAATATCCCGTAGCAACAAATAGTAGTTTGATGAATTAAGAGCAGCCACTTGTGTGGATTTCACAATGAAAACTGTCTGACTGTCTATGGCTTAAAATAATCTAGGTCAATATAAACTAAAGCAGCTTAAAATGCATGTCACTGATAGCCTAACTGCCAATCCAGAAAGGTAGTTTTAGGTCAGTGAGGATAAGGACAGTATTCCCTCGATGAATAAATCCGCTCTCTTGATATGAGATGGCCTAGGAAATCGATAAAGAATCTTGGACGATTATCCCTCTAGGTTGGTACATGGTACATTTCAAAAGTACTTTGATACCACGAATTTCGTTCCAAATGGAATCTAATGTTGTTTTATGGAACACACTTGGTTGAAAAATATTACAAACGAGAGATTAGGTGATGATTCATTCTAGTCATACGTGAACAGTAGCTCACTTCACAAATGCTTTTCTGTGAATAAATTTCTGTATGTATCCAGTCCCTCGTACAGGACAGTGGTAAGACGACTGGCCATGGCATTTCAAATAAACATATCAGTGAAAAAGTTTGTCGGAGGCAAATGGGAGGAAATAAATGAATGAAAGGATATGAAATGTAACCGACAGCAATGTTAAGAGCTGTTTCGCAAAGAAACCTCAAGTTTGAATGTCGTAGTATAATCTATGAGCAACGGAATGTGATTCATTTCCTTTAAAACGGATGTTTACAACTGGTTCAGATTCCCCCATCCGGGATGAGTAGACCGATGGCCCAAAACATTCGTGTGTTGTATCTCAGTTATACCCACTGGTACGAGGCCAATTATTCCTTCGTATGGCGATGCTAACTCCTGTTTCCACAGTGGGATTACCTTTTGAAAAACTCACTAATCAGTTGTACACTGCTATTTGTTCCTGAGACTTACCTTACGATGGCTGTTCGCATGCCAACAATGAGCTGGAAATACGAGTGCCTAGAAACGCGGCAACGTTGGTTCTTATCTTAAACGGATTTATTGAAAATGTTAGTCCGATCACTACGCTATCAACTTAGGTCTTCAACGTAGACCGTGAAAAAATTTAGGCCGGTAGGATTTACATGGTGAGGCAGCACCACCAGATGGAGTAGGAAAGCACCGAGTACTTGCTTCGACAGTTCCATGGATGGATAGTGTTGACGAAAATCTGCGAAGATTGGCGGAAGAAGGCATGAATCACGCTGGGTCATATATGGAATCTGAGCGCCATGTAATATGGCATAAGCTTCACGGCCGGAGATTCAAAGCAAATAAAAGGCCACAGCCAACATGCAACTGATCTGACCGCTAGACTTATCGAAACTCATCATTATTTTGTGCTGTTTTGTGCTACTCATGTGCCAACCTCAGCGAAATGAAAGCAGTTTACGTGGTCAGATTTGACAGTTTACGTTGTGTAAAACATTCGATGGAGTAGCGATGATACACACTTACCTCAATATTTAGATAACCAGAGTCTGAAAACTGGATATGTACCAACGTCGTGCTTCGGGTGGGCAAAATTCAGGATTGGTGCTTTCATATTAGGGTTTTGGCCCTTTAGAAGAAAGTATACTTGCGCTCCGGATAATGGACTAAAGAATGAAGGAATATATTTCAGTAATATATCTCCAGCTATTGAAGCCCCAACTCTTCTAGCATACGGATGGGTTTCCCACATGTACACAAGCAAAAAGCAGCTATTAGCGGTAAAGGCCAAACCAATCGTTGTCGGTAAATGGCCGAATTAGAGTGCAGCAACTATTTTTGCCCGTAACTTGATCAAAATGAGATTTTTTCGACTTGATGCAAATAAGTCTGGGGAAACAACAAGAAACTGGATCGAAGTAAAACAGATTGGGTTGTTACTCTGTATGGTGGATAATTTATGTGGGCTACCAGGAAAAGCCTGCTACCGTAGCAAGTGCAAGGACAAGCGGTCAATCTTTACCCTCCAAAAAATCACTAACACGAAAGGTTCATTTGAAGCTCGTTTCAGTCTTTAACTTACTAAAAAAATATGAGTACAATAAACATACAGATCAGCTTTCACATAGACAAACTTTAAATGAAATATTTTGGAGAACCACGATCGGAGAATGTTCATCAAACAGGAAAAAAGTGGTGGTGGACTCTGGTGAAAGTTTATTAATAGTACCGCACTAATTATACATATATCTGTTATCTCGGACATTGACTCAAATAAAAATTCAACTGAAGGATAATAAAAATGGGCAGTTCGCTTTGTGGTTGTTCGAGTCTCCCATTGAGAAAGCAGATAAAAGTACCTTCGAGAATTTCTGATTATCGAAATCCTGTGAAGACTGTCTTTGTGTCCTTTTTACACAAATTGTGTAGAATAAAATCTAGACCAGAAATTAAAGGATTCTTTTTTCCTCTTCCGCTTAGTCGAATGAAGCTAAAGGCTATGACCCAATTTTAACCCAAGCAACGAACTTCCGTTTTCCCAACGATCTGTTAAACGCCCGAGTCCGCTTAGAGCATTGATGTTGAGTACGTTGTATCGTGGTAATAGATTTATCCAGGTTGTAGAAGGACGGTGGGTTTTTATTAATCAGAAAAAGCTTGGAGCAGTTTGAGGAGGTATCCTTTTGGAGGGACTTGGTAAACGGATTAAAGTCTTCTGTAAAAGAAGCCAAGCTCCGGAGTCATTTTCTGTAGTCATTAAAATAATGATTCAGATTATGTCCTCACGTCTTAATTAATTGTCCAGTGCTGAGATGCACGACCGTCCGGATGAGTACACCATAAATACGTCAGTTTTCAAAGAATAGTGGTTTGCAGTTTTCAGGACGGTCAGAGTCCTGAAGATCATCCCAGAATACCGGAGATCCTCAAACTCCAGACAGCTTTGGATCAAGGTCAGACAGTGCCATCCTAAATATATTGCGCCAAGCTGTTGTACTTTCTGCACTTTCTTGTTCGCAAAAAAGCTATTGTGTTGTTCTCTGCGAGTTTTTTCTCACTAGACATTGTGGTGGGGAGAGCGTGTGATTTCGGTAAGAGTATCGCATGCCATTCGACAGTCTGGCGGAAGCATATCTCATTAGAATGAGACAAAGATAAAATAATTTCAACCCACCTAAAATTATTTGCCTCTCAAGTGATATCACACCTCACTCATTATCATAGAGAACAACATCGGTATTGATAACGACGCTACGGCTGTTGCGACTGGGAATATAAACGTGAGAGGTCTTCTGCATAATGACAGGAAGAAGGATACCTGTGTGCATTTTGGAAAACGAATTTCCAAGTTTTTTTAGCCTTTGGAGGGTATCTTGAACACAACAAAATCATGAGCAATTGCTTGTAGTCTTTTCACACGCTTGAATTAACTGCGATGTTCTTTCTCTGAAAATGCCCGACCAAACTTACCTCAATCATCATAACTGAAAATAATCTACTGTTATCACAACTTTTCTGTTGTTAGAAAAACCGACAGAACGATTCCTCTTACTATCACTCTTGTGTTTTCTCCTTTACTCTGTGTCATATTTGCATGATATTTTGTCCTCAACTGACGACTGAGACGTACCCCATTAAAGCAGTTCACTTTTTCTAAAATTATATTCCCATTTCCGACCCAAATGAAGGTCTGATTTCCCTTGAGTTGTTCACAACTGCTTATGGCTGTTCCAATGAAATGGACTGAAATAGCATTATAACAGAATGATCAGCTGGCATGTCTTTTCTGTTCATTTATAGTTTTGAAATTTCGTGGGTTATTCGCAACAGTTGTCGGTCCACTTATATTCTGAATGACATTATCAACTTATTTTCATACAATGGCCCATAGCGTTTTGTGTATTACGACGTATGTACTCATGCATTATCACAGAATAAATTGCAGAAGAGGGGTTGATGAAGTGTCTACAATGAGCAGACCGAATGTTTGATGGATTTTAAGGATACCTTATGAAATCAAGCTGAGTTGCATCTGCATGTCCTCTACTGATACACTATCCAGTTTTATGGGAGCGTTCCTTTTGAAGTTTCTTGGTAAAGAATAAGATATATTTTCTCTTTACTTAATCTTTTCAAGAAATGTATTTCAAACTAGTAAATAGGTTTTTAAGCGCAAACGTAGTGACACACAAACAGGATATTAAATTCTTCAGTTCCTGCATTTCATTCGGAAAAATTTCACGTAGAGCCAATCTGTTATACCCCATTTCCATGAGTAGAGCAGAAAATCTGTCACCCTTCTTTCCATTCCCTGATTACTATTAATGGACCCACAGCGTGCAAACGGAAAGAAGTGGAACACGTCAAAACTCCAGATAGCAGACAGTCGAAGAAGCCAAGACTGGTTTTCACGGATATACAACGCCGCACGTTGCATGCAATCTTCAAGGAAACCAAAAGACCAAGTAAAGAAATGCAGGTGAGTTATTCAGTTTCTACTGACAACTTTTAGAGTGAGTGAGAAGTTAGTTTCCTACGTAGAGGACATTTTGAAAGCGGTCCTCAAGATGATTTCTTCGAATGTGTGTTCTCATCAGCTGAAAGCAGAAGCTTAAAGCATGTGCCTGTACCGATTTATGCGTGTTAAAGTCTGAAGTTCAGTTCATTTACTGGAGTTGCATAGGTCTTGATTTTCAGAATCCTCGTGTACACAACGTAGGCCCTTTGGCGGTAGGAGTTTGCTTTTGTGATATCACACAAGTAATCTCCAGAAACACTGCGATACATTGTGACACACAGGACTTGATCAGGACAAACCCACAGTCTATGACAGCCCATCTATCAATCTTCTGGGCCATATAATCATGTACGCATGCCAGCTTGATCAATTGCTTGCTGCGCACTTTCGGTCATCAGCGCAACGCACCGGTGTCAGCCGCTTAGGCAGATTTGATTGAAGGTGCTACTTAATGTATATGACGGAAACATGCACTGATCACATGACTGGCACTCCTAATCAGTCAGCTGTTCTACCCAATTAAGTGGTTGGTTATCCTGAAGATAAATGTTTGATTTCGTCAGCATCCTTAAAATTAGAGCCTACTAACCTACTGGTAGGTCAACGTTTCCATTCATAAGCCAGCTTTTGCTCTTCCTGGATAGGTGGGATTTTGAATTAGTGTGAACTTTTTATTCAAAAAATAATGGGAGAATGAATTCCGACACCAGCATATTAAACAAGTTCAATGTAACAAACGGGTCGACTTGTGATAAGACATTTTGTTCCCGTGCCATTCGGCACATTACTGCCTCTGTTTGTACGCTGTGTAAGGTTGGTTGAGATCCTAGTGATTCATACCATGTTTAACAATCGTCCGACGAAAAATAAATTGGTATTTAAGTTACGTTTATCATTTACAATGACACCGATTGGAATTCCTTTCGAACAGAAGCCACTCCCGTTAGACTTCATGAATTCCAAATTGCTTAGTGTTGGAAAAGCGACGATGATTGAGGTTCTTTTTACAGCTCAGTGTCCTGATCATCTTGGGTGACTTGACAGGAGTGATAAAAATCACAACTGGTAAGTGAAACAAGCATTGACTGTTTTCGACAAATGCACTCATTTGCAAATTTATTTGGTTTTCACGGGAAAATCAACTGGTTTTTAGCTGAAGAACATAAACGAGAGACTTCATTGAGTCTCCCGTGAAAAATAAATTGATTAGCGAATGAGCGTACTTGTCGAACTCAGTCCAAGTTGGTTTCAAGTAGAACATAAGGTTGACGGAAACTCGGGAAGTGTGTCTACCTGATGAGTTCCTAGAAAGACGGAACCGGTTATGGACCGTCGAAGGGTTTTCAGCAACCTTGTGAAGAGTTGACTGCTATCTACCGGGGTGCTGTCAACCTGCAAGGTATTCCTGGTCAAAGTGCGACTGTCGCAAGGGTGTGGGCTGAAGCTGAAGTCAGCTGGTGAAGCTAATGGCTGCTTTTTCTGTGCTCTGACCACACAACGGACAAGGATTGACCATCTTCTGACTGACGTAGGCAGGTTTCTGCACAGCACCATTCTGATCGCCTATTTAAACCTTATGGACTTGTTCAGCCTGATTGACAGTTCAGGCTGCCTACCACGCACAAGCCAGTGAGGATTGAAATGCTACCTACACAGGAGAGGTGAGCAGGTAACTGAGGGCTAGAAAAGGACTCGGCGATTGTTTTGCGAACATTGATGGGTTCAAATCACTCAAGTTCGAACAATCCTCCTGTCCTGGTGCTGTTATTCTGACGAGTAAACACCAAATAGCTGAAGCACTCGACTCGAGATTCGCTCTTATTAGGGCTATCAGCATTGTATATCCTTGACAGTGCCGGGATTCGAGCTGCGAAAATCTGCTACCACTACTCTAACAGCGCACACCGGATGCACCTGAATTAACACACATGAACAGGTTGCGTTCACTCCTAACAAGAAAGGCAGAACGACACTATGCGATAACCTCGGAATTTACACAACTTACCTGCGTCATTATGATCGATGCTCAGTCGATGTCCGCTGCGTAGTTAGAGCACAGAGAAAGCAATCTGACCAGCTGATTTCAGCTTTAACCCACTCGCGTGCAACTGTCACATTTTGACCTATTGAACAGCTTTTTGAAGGTTGACCGCACAGCAATAGAAACCAATGAACTACCGTTTTTTCGAAGTTCACAGTTTGAACGGTTACCTCCGTGTCCTGGTGTAATTATTCAGGTTGGTCCACACCACTAGAGGAGCACTGGACTCCAGTTTCGCTCTAATTAGAGCTCATCAGCAGTGAGCATTCTCGACCGAGTCGGGATTTTAACTCCAGGCAACTGAGGTGATTCATATTATTCAGCTGCTTAAGAAGATTACTCAAGGTGATCCAAACACTGCGTTGTGAAAAGAAATCCAATTATCATTGCTTTTCCACCAGCGGTCAAATTAAAAAAATGTCACAGTGCACGGGCTATTCTACCTCATTCATACCGAATACGGTGCGGATATTCTAAAAATGATCAACAATAGGATACTACCGGCCAAGGAAATCGTCAACTCTCCCTTTCTCTGGAAGCCATTCCGCATCAGCAGCAACCTAAGTCAAAATTTTCGCTCTACTTCATGAGAGACTGTAACCCCTTTCGCCTTGGTGGTCTTATTGTGAGTGGGTAGAATGGTTTTTATTCATAACCTAGCCTAAGCCATGGCTTTATTCCAATCACGATAGAAGCCCGACTTGAAGGAGTATCTACCTTCATAAATTTGGGAAGAAATAGAAAAATAATTTCTAAGCGTAGAATTCCGCTTAATCAGGAGCGACACACCAGTTGAACCAATCTGGAATATTCGGTACGCATTTTGAGTGTATTAGAGGAGTTGTTTTGCGAAATATCGACGACGTCTCAGGTGAAGAATATCTGGTACACAAAGGCAGAATCAACACCATTTTCTGGGATCACTGCCAGTGTGACCCTAACCTAATCCTACAGAAGCTAGAAGGAATAAATACAGTGCCTGGCTCAATAGCTAGAGGGAATTATGCATAGATAGATGCACGATAGACTCGGAGCTCATACACATCTAGCCTGACCAGCCTCCACCAAATTTATGCAGTTAACCTGTAACTCACGATGAGAAAAAAATGCTGCGTCAAATACTCTCATTTTGCTCATAACAAAGTTCGTCCGCAGTCCACATTTTCCGTAGTTTCGGGGTTTGCACCTCGGTCCCAAGGCATAATGGTTCCCCACAGATGCACCATCGGTGACTGGACACACCTGAATTTTCGTGCCTTAAAATTTTCCTACCTAAAAATAATCACGTCAGGATAGGAGAGGAATATTTCAAACAAACGCATGCAGTAGATTTTAGTCAAACTCAGAAGCAGATCTTTATATGGAAGAACCTGTCTTGATGTTATCTTGACAGTCTTCAGTCGCCCTCTACATTTTGTCAGCAGTAACGAAATGGATGGATTCATCTTTTAGTCTCCATCATTCCAATAAAGCCACGTATGTAGTAGATGCTTCAAAGCTAATGGTTGACCCTTCAGTTATGTTGTGACAAGAAAGTATTATCGGAACCCGGCTGAACTCATACTGTGTAATTCAGTTTTATCTACCCAGAAATATGAATATGTAAATGGACAGAGGTAAACTCATTAGTACCTGTTAAACAGAAAACGTTTGCTTTGTGACATGGGCATTGATGTGCTAGGACTTATTGCTGCTTTTTAATTGAGACGAACACTGAAGCTCAGAGGTAACGACATGGTTTACTGGCCATGGTGTCTTTTGTTTGACTCCAGCTGTGGTTGTCGATGGCTTTTATATAGGCTTGCTTAGCTCGCCAGTGTCTCCATTATGATTTTTCTTCATAATGCATGACCAGTACGTACCGCCGAGCGTTTTCAATTTTAATGTGTTGAGGCAATTTCTACTTGAAATTCTGCCTATTTTCTCCCGTATCCTTCAGTTATTCTCTTCTCACCGTTCAAAGTTACCCACCTCGACTGCTATGCATTGACGTAACAACTAATTAATAGACCGCCGATTTTTGAATCGGCACGCAAATTTTCGAAAAATCAGACGAATTCCAGTGTATCACTTTAAGCAATGCCTAAGACGCTAAGATCTTCAAGTTCCTGTTCCAGGTATCCGTTAGTTAAGAATTCGCACCTCACATCCAATTCAGGCTACGATCTAAAGTGGGAATTCTAAAGTCTGGGGCGATATACAAATCACAGTATAGTTATTGTTTTGGCAATCTTCACCTTACAGTGGTGATCAGTTTTCTAGCACAATAAAGGGCACTGATCGTTAACCTGAGTTATATCGCTGGATGTGGACCGTTTGTTGCACACGATGCTATCAATACAGCACCTTTTTTACATTACGTAACTCCTCGGTGGACGGCGTAGAGCCTTGATAAGTATTCGTGACTGCAGATTTTTACTGGCCAACTATCTATACACACCACTGGTTGTTATCTGGGGTAGTGCGCCTGTTTTCTCATTCTACTTCATGAAATCACAAAGGGCACTTCACAACATTCTTCACTTGTGCTTATGTGCTAATAATTTAGCTTTAATTCCATATAGAACAGCTGATGGATCACTTCAAAACAGTCATGCAGTTTGATTGAAAAAGTAAATGAAGGCAAACACGAAAAAAGCGACAAAACTGGAGAAAGGCGCTATGGCGAACCTGACTGAGAGTAAATCAAACAACTGAAGCTCTTAGAAATAAATAGATACAGTGTACTATCCCACATGAGCACAAATTGGAACCTGATACATCTACAAATGTAGTCATTTGCGCCTTGAATTACTTCCAAATTCAGCAGTACAACCTTTCTAAATTGATGCTCCTAAGTAATGAAAATAACCGATGGCACCGGCAGCCCAAACTATGCAGCAAATGAACTTTACTGTTCGATCTACCTACTGGTTGTTCTACTGATTTATGGATCTGGTATGTAACCGACAACTACGACTGATTTGATAAAAACACCTGCACAAAATACACTATTCATCCAAACGCTATAGTGATCTGTAAGCTCTCTCTTACTCGGCAGAACACTAAATGAGGGGACCTATTGCACACAGCCACTCCCCAAAACTTTGTTACTTTTTCAACGTTTAAACAACCCACCTGTGTCCGAAACACAGGCTTTTATGATAGTTTATTGGTCTACTTGCAGCCTGCTGGCGTTCACACATCGAAGCAGTTGGCCTGCCTGCGTGAGAACTTGTCTGTCGAGGCACAGCTGTGTTCGGTGTTGAAGAGCTGATGATGGCGGTTTGTGGTCAACAATAGGATGTTAACAGTGGGAAGCTGGAACTTCGGAATGATGAGTGGTCACATGTCGGTGACGGATTGGATGGTCTATATTAACAGATGAGGGATAAGCAGCATTGCTTGTGGCTGAGTCCTTTAACTTCATCGTGTTGGTCAAACGGAATTTAGTAGCTGGTATCCCTAAGGCTGACAGGCTTCTTCAGGTTTTGACGAATAATTAACAAACTGTGAACTGAAGAAGGCCTCCAGATTAGGGAAGGGAGAGCTGATTTATAATGCCCGTCTAACTATTTTCTACTTAAATAAGTTAGGATGTTTAAAGCGTAGCACCAGAAAAATGAATACAAAAACTAGGTGTGCTCGCGTGGGGGGGGGGGGGACGAAGCCCCACAGGTTCGATCAACGATGCTACCCAAGTATAATTTGATTAGTATGACAGGTAATGATTTAACTCTGCTTTGGAAAAAGATGCACTCTTCTCTATACATAGTTCTCTGTCGCCCAGTACTGTTGGGAATAACCTAAATAGTTTAACTTTATCAACCATATTCTCATCTGCCATATCGTCACATGTTTTTCTAACATTGTTTGCTCTCCAGTCGACGATTGCCCAACAACTAGGGTTGGAAGTTTCAACAGTGGCTAACTTCTTCATGAATGCACGGCGTCGTTCATTAGACAAGTGGCAGGAAGACTGCAGTAAAGGATCAAGCCTAGCCGGCTCACCATCTCCGGACTCCCCGTCTAGCCGAACCGGTGTTATTAATGGGGCGAATAATTTGAATGCGTGCATGATGAAGGAGACGAGTGATCCATCTTCAAACGGTCCAGTATCTCCGACTGCTCACCTTCGTCATTCCGGTAATATTATTACGTTTAGCACCTCGGGTTCCACAGCAAAGTCGAGTGATTTAACATATAATATGGGATCCCGGACGGACCGTGTGTTGCGTAGTAGTGCGTTGGCTGGCGCATTTTCCACACATCCATCTGGTTCTATGAATTCTAATCAGAATGGACATGGTGGTTCACTGTTCCAGATTGTTCAACGAAACGCTCCGATCGCCGCTACTTTCGTGCCATCCAGTGTTAACCAGATTGGTCCGAAAAATATCCACAACATGGGCCACCGCAATTTACAACTCACATCTTCACCAGACTCACAACAAACGCATCCGGTGCACCATTCAAATCTGGCCCATCAGCCAAATGCCTTCATTGGCTCAACTCATCAAAGGCACCAACAGCTGACTCAGCACACTGGATTTGTTGATCGAGGGGAGCCTTTTAGTTCTGTACAGTCGAACAATATTTCCTCTTCCCTCACGGCTACGACTAATGCAATACCTTCGGAGTCAGTTTATGCACACTTAAATACCCCTAGGCCACATCCCACACTAATTTTCCCCTCGACCGGACTGCATAGTCAGAATTCGCTTGGTTCATCTCATTTAGGACTGTTCCACTCAAGCGGAACACCTGCTCAAGGCCAGTTACGCAGTCCACATTTTCTGATGCGTGATTTTTCTGGTCATTCTCCATTTGATCATAACTTCCTCAGTACAATGACTAGCGGCCAACGAGTGCTTACAGAACAGGCTTTGGAGTGGTGTAATTCATTAGCGGCTGCTAACGCGGCCAACTTGGCGACTTCTGACCAATCAGAAATGGAGCAATCAAAAGAGACGAAGGAATATGTGATTTCAGGCCATTCGAAAGTTGCTCAACCAGAAGGGCGCAACGCAGATAACAAACCAACAGATGCGACGGGTGACGATGACCTATCAATCGAACAGGATGGATGTTCCTCGCTTGAATCTGTTTCTCAGGGGCCCCTTGATGAGACAGAATCAATCGAGAGAGGAGATCTAGACACACTACAGACAAACTATTATAACGACTCAACTATGGATCCAATCAAAGATGACTTGTCGAATCTCAGCGAAGCTATATGTGGATTAGTCGGTTCAAATAACACAGAGCTGGACGAAACCATCGACGACTGTGATTCTGATCAAACCTAAATCACTGCGGATTAGTTGGGATAGCGCCTTTCAGTCCATTGTTCAGGGAGGTTTCTGTACGAATTGACACAAATTTCATGAGGTGCTGTACACGTCTCATGAACTTGTCACGCAAGGAGTGTGCCGCAGGCATCTTTTATCCACTTCCCCATCCACGGCTACCCACCGCAGTGATATTAGCAACTGCGTAAAGAGTCTATCGGTGGAACTTTTGTACAGAGCTCAGAGTTCGAAATGCCTTTCTATTTGTTTTTCCTTGAGTGTATTTTTGATTTGTTCGCATCGTTTCCTCTTTCATATGGTTTGGGACAAGGAAGCCCTATTCCTGTATGTATATCTCTCCTCCACTGTGTCTGACGCGTGCACAACTTTCATACACGCCCGCGCAACTCGAAATCCAAAGATGAGACTGCGGCTGTCAAGATTTCACTTCACACTCTACTAGAGTGCCTAACTGTCGGGACTTCATCCTGTAGCACGCTTGATAATGGTAATGCCTTATCGCAAGGCAATTTTGGTCGAAAAGCTCTTCACTTGGTCATTTATTATCGATCGAATAGGTCACATGCGTACACTGATGAGCTGGTGGTGCACATCTTTTGGAAAGCTATTCCATTTTCATGAAAGAATCACCCAAAGAGTTTAGATAATGTGCTAATAGGCCATCATATCACAGCTATTCACTGTTTTTGTCCTTAGGATAGGGTTTGTAAAGTTTTCATTCTATTCTATTTTTTTCAAATAAAGTTTATTGCAACTAGATATGTGCATTTCTGCGCTGAAACTTCAGAGAGAAGCTAATATATGATAAAGTATTCTTCACTTGAGCCCGGCGTCTAACAGGACTTCCGGGTAATCAGCATCCGGTTCCAGAGAGAGATTCAAATATTGCACGCGTAGTTAGTCTAAAGAGAAAACGGCAAAGAAGTGGATATTGAAATTTCCCAGGTGCGTACCCTCTTGGTGAAGAATTACTACCAAATCGTGATCCGTGAGGAAAGTTTTTGGTTAGTCCCTCTGGAGTAATCTCTCACAAATGGAGTACTGCTATGCCGAAATCGATGAATAATGTGCTGATTATTTTAATAGTTGAATCCAGAATCACTTCATCTGAACCGACGACAAGTAATTTACTAGGTGTAACACTCTATGGCCATTTGTCCAATGAGGAATTCTAGAAATGGGTTAGGCAAAATGTAAAAGATTTCATTGTTGGTGTGTCTCTTAGGTCGACCTAAAATAAAACCATAAGATGAAAATAAAATTATGAAGGAACAGCAACTTCCAAGAGGGAAGATGGCTGGAGCACGAGCACGGTGGAGCTCGCTAGTTGGTCGAAAGCTCATAAAGCGCAGACGGAGAGCTGATATTTGCATCCATAAATACACAAAAAAATGAGTTTGGGCCGATTTTTGAGGTTCCATCATTATAAAAAATAACGGAATGAGTTCTTTCGATACACGAAGGTAGCATTTTTTACGAATTCGATGCCAATGTGGTACCAGGTATCAGGTGTTAATAGAGAGAAGGTACTCATTAGCTGCCACACTTTTTCTAGATATTTGTTGAATGAGTATGCTTATCTTTCTTTATAAGCTCTGATATTCAGAGGGTCGTAAGTTGTACAGTCGTACGCTTCAGTCGAAGGGCGTGAGGTAACGACTATGACGAAAAGCGTAAATTTTGGGCAACTAATTTGGTCAGAATCAAGTAAACTTAGAAAGACCTAGCGCAGAGTGCTATAAAGTAAAGGCTGGATAGCATGGATGCTATTTTTAGGTATCTATGTCAATGGAGGAAGTCCACGGTATAATTGTCATGTCTGATCTAGTTATATGACTTGCCAGAATGCGCTTTCAAGGCTGAGTGCCGGGAGAATTTCCAGAATCATTCACTTGTCAGCATGCTTTTTGTGAAAATAAGGAAATCTTTCATCTAACTCACAGTCAAGATTTCGATTTTAAATCCCAGCGGAATATCTGTGATAAGTAATGAAAATACACGTCACATCAAATAAAGCTTTACTTGTCCTCACATCTCATTCTTTGGGACAATATCGCCTCTTATGACCTCACATTCCCTGAAGTGGACTGCTGGTGGAAGTGATCCCTGTGTCAAACCTGTCACTACAATATGACATGTAAAAGAAGTTAGTTCCATGTGTTTCTCAGTCGGACCAAGAGCTGTGGAGTAGAGTTTTGAATTAAAGGCGTCTCGTTTCACTGAAGAATCTCCTATCTTCATACGCCGAAGGAAGCATTGAAAGGAACTGCAAAGATTCCGCAGTACAAAGCTTTCTAATCGGGCATAGGTCTCTTTTCATGACACATGCAATATTTTCATCTTTTCAGGGCTTTCATTTTTCCAATCCCTGGGGAAATCTTCTGAGAAATTGGGTCAATTTTTCAGTTTGGTCAAGGACAGGTGACCAGCTTAATTCTGTGATTGACTAATTAGCGACGTGTCCGGTGGATGGCTTGGATAGCTGAAAAATTTTGTAAACACTGAAAGAAGGAATTCTGATGCAGTGTTTTGCTTCTGGGGACATTATTGCTCACAATAACTGAAAGAATTATACAGAAAATTTCAAACTGCGACACCAGTTCGTCCGTTTTAGACATCAGCATGCGTTTTGACCTTGTCACCGTAACAAAGAGCGTAAACTACTTACTTCGATGAATTACAGTTTGATGAGATCGGTGACAGTAAACAAAACCGTACTTCCTTTTAAATGCATTGCCATCAGTGTAGAATGTGAACGGCAACACGTCGCAGAGAAAGATGATACTGACGCTGAACACTGGGCAACTGAATTCGACCGTGAAATGCACCAAAGTAATAAAGTGCCATTTTATCCGGCGACATCAAAATTAACTAGCTAACACATATGTATCAAGCGATTCGCAGCTACGAAAAATGCATCGGTTGATTAATAAATTTGGCCATACGAAAAGGCAGATAGTGTGTAAATCCACTAGAGTTAGTCCGAGGAATTATGTTCGGCCTTGAGTGAGATGCTAGGTAATCAGCCTGCTTAAGCAACTTAGTCGCCACGTGTGACCACAAGAGGCAGTGGGTTTAAGTAACACATGGTGCTGCTTTGATGAACCTGTCACTTGATAGGACCTTGTCAGAAACATTTTTGCCATCCTAATCCTCTATGCCCCCGCTTTTTCTCATTTACATCATCTATAGGATTGAACAAGAGATTTACAAGGGCTTTATTATGTTTTATTATGCACTTAAAGGTTTGTGGCACTTTTATAATATGGTCTAAAGCCATGTATTATTGGGTAGTTCACCAACCATACTCAAGTTTATTAAGCTAGGTAGTGTATAGTTCAAGAAAATAAGCATGCCATTTGTATTCGATATTTGGAACTCAGAATGCCGTGAGCATTCCCACTGGACAACCTCTTTGGACGATTCAACTAAAGTTGGCTGTGTAGTACGATCCAGTATGGACCTCGTATTTGGTAACTGCTCCATGCTGCCATCTCGCAGGACTGTTCAGATAGTTCATGCTTTACGACAACGAAAGTGCACTAAAACGCAGAAGGTGGATTATCTATTTGTGCTACCTTTCGAAAGAAACCTCCGGCTTACGTCTTCAGAGGCATCATACTAAATTTTAAGTTGATATTGACGAAGACTCAACAAAATCCTGTCGGAATCTTTTGTTTATAATGTGCTTCACCAGAACCTCACAAAGACCACACTCCGTTTCAGTTGATAGGTTGCTCGAAGTTTTTTGACGGAACATCCTAATCTTAAGGTTGCTGAAAACTCTTCGGCAACCAACGACGGGTTTGGTTCTCCTTGAGGCCCATAAGAAGGCACACTCCCGGATTTTTAGTCGACGTATTGCACTAAGCTGTACATAACCGGCAAAATACATTTAGATGTAAATTACGTCGGTGTCAGTAAGATAGCCGAATCTTTTGCTAGAAATAATCTCGAACCCCTTGCCGAATGAAACACGAAATGGCGTTTGTGTGACACATTTGAGGAAAACTACAGACGAGAGATTCAGCCGGGATTCGTTTTGGTCTCTCATTACCACCAACTTGGTTTGCAATAGAGTGGATTTTGACACTTGTCTGAAATTCGTTGCTCAAGTAGGACATAAGGTTGATGTAAAATGGGCGCCGTGCCAACCAGATAAGCCACAAGAATGGCGAGACCAGTTATGAGTCATCAAGAACCTTATGAGCAGTGTTCCGTCAAGGAATATGCCAGTATTTGTTGGAACACAGTATCACAGGTTGTAATGACTGACTGAAGCACATAATGGGCCAGGTCCTGAGGACCGAAGTTTAAGAGTACACGTAACGGCGTGTCAAATTAAAAGCGGTTGTGAATTCGGTTCAAATCTTGCTCGAATATGCAATCCATTTCTAAATACAAACTGTGAATAGTTGGTTTATGTGCTCAATTGGCGGACGGCGTTGCTCTGCGATGTGAATACCTTATATTGATTGCTGGTCAGATTGATAATGTGTCGAAATATTGGTAGTTCCGTTGAGTTTATAGGTCAGGTGGCTGCTGATTTCCTTGCCGTCAGAAAACGTTTCGTCACCATATGAGGAGACATCGTCAGTGAAGGTTCAGATTGAATGATACTGCTTACAGAATTCGTGTTTGTCTTCACCCATATTTATCTCAATCAAAAAGCCTGGCAGCTTACACGGCATATCGAATTCTCAAGTGATTTTCCTCTCACAAGGACCTCACCTCTTTCTGATTTTGTAAACATGCTGCTTACGGCAGCAAACACGCTAGGGGGATGAAGCCTTTGCTTTGATAATTGCCTAATAGAGTATTTTTAACAAGACAAAGAAAGAAAGTGGTACAAGTTGATAAACACAGCAAACTTTATGCTGGTTTGAAAGACGTTGATGCAAACTGGATTCAGCCGGACCGTTCTCATGGAGCCCGCTGGACGCCAGTAGCATGTCCGAATTCACAGTACCTGCTAGCCGGGGAACCTCTGAAGTGCCCAGGCGCTATTGCAGTCGACGTACATCAGACAAATAGCCGAACGGTCAAGAATTTACAAAAATAGGGGTCATGACAATACGGTCGCCTGATTCGAATAAAAAACGACATCACTAGGCTTCTTTCACTGATCATTTGGCTTTCCGGTTAAAGGACCTCCGAAAGAAACGAGATAGCATAAAATCTCTCTCTCACTTCCCAGAGTAATCGCGGTTATTCGTAGCAAGAAACGCGCTATGACTGAGATCTTGTTTAATCAGCTGTGTTGCTGCTTGCTTTCTTAGCAAAAGTACTACGAGCCACTCCTAGATGTCATTCACTAGTTAAATGTCAAGTTTTGGATCTGTGTGCTAACGCATCAACTAATAAATAGCTATGAGCTAATGGCGGGAAGAATTATCTGTATTTGGGGGAAGTCTTGGAAACTGAAATTCCGGAACTTATTCCTCGAACGGCTAAATCTGTCATCTTATTTTCAATTCGAATGAGAATGAGACCTTCCTCGTGGAGCAGCAGAATACGTCTTCAATGCTACAAGAATTCTACCGTTACTCCCTCTCTCCCTCGAATCCGCACCCACCCAAGAAATGTTTCGTCTTGCAACACCTCACAGGACACAGACCTTCAGGACATGCAGATAAAATACTTCCGGGTTTCCAAGTGGCTGCTTTACCTCTTTCCACAAGAAGAGACATTGCACTGGAAATCGGCGCAACATTTTGAACAGACTGTCACTCAGAATTCTCGTGTCATAGATTAA